TTTATGAGTGCATAATACTATAGCCTCTCGTATATAAACATACTAAAGTGTGTGACAATGTTATGTTTACGGGCGTTGCCTATCATATGAGTGGCAAGTGTTGAGACAATAAGACAATTGATTTGATGTCCTCAGAGTCTCCACACATTTGATCCCAAGATTTAATACCACCGCTTAAGACACATACCATCGCCAGTCATCACCGCTTTAACCACTGTATACACCGCTTAATAAACTGATAATAACCGCAATCGTTGGCCATTCACACGCGCACAGCATGTCATCCGACGACAAGACTACCGGTGCTATCGGTGGTGGTGTTGGTGGTCATCATCAGCCACCGCACCCGCCATCGGGAGGTCCGCCGATAGCCGCCACCAAACCGGCCGTCAATATGCAGACCAAACCTAAGATAACGCAAGCGATTAATGGCAACCAAACGGCGCTAAAGACCCAAAACAACGGCACCGGTAGTCAGAACGGAGGGAACGGCTATCGGGTGCTGAAGCCCGAGGGCTACGTAGGAGTGGACTCATTGCCGGAACAGTTTGTGTCGCGTATAGTGAGGGATGGCTTCGGCTTCAATATCATGTGTTTGGGACAGACGGGGGTCGGGAAGTCGACGCTATTGGACAGCCTCTTCAACATGAAGTTCCCGGACGTAAGCACTCGTAGCCATAATCTCAGTGCCGTCGACGTGACGGCCCATAACTACGACCTCCAGGAGCGCAATATTAAGCTGAAGTTAGGTCTCATTGAGAGTAAAGGCTTCGGCGATCAGATCAACAAAGGTTTGTCTCCATTGAGTAGATTATAGCGTGTGTTATGTTATGATAGCATACCTGTGCCTACGGAACAGCGCCGGTACCGCTAATTAGACAGTGATTTGTCTTATTCATGACAGCCCTGGCCTGTGATATCGGGTGTTGTATTCGCTGAACACCGGCCCGGACTGTAGTGTCTGTCCGTTCATTACACGATGGCATAACACTCGACAGTACCGGCGCTGGTCAGGGATAAGCCGTAGCCTAACATAGCATAGCATTTAGAACTGATAGGAGTATGACTTGAATATAACACCAATTTTTACATCCCTTTCCCCATCAAACAGGTGACTCCTACAAGTCAGTCGTGGAGTACATCGATCAGCAGTTCGAGCGCTACCTCCAGGAGGAGCTGAAGATCCATAGGAATCAGTCGCCGGTGAACGACACCCGCGTCCACGTCTGTCTGTATATGATATCACCCGTCGGTCACGGCCTCAGAGCCATTGATTTGGTGACAATGCGCTCATTGGCGGCCAAATGTAATCTCATCCCTATAATCGCCAAATCGGACACAATTACGAAACCAGAGTTGGAGAGACTGCGGGTGAAGATCATGTCAGAGATTGTCACCAATGGGATCAATATCTATCACTTCCCCACCGATGACACAGACGTGGCTGACCTGAACGGCAAGAACAACGCACTCTTACCCTTCGCACTGGTGGCCAGTCATGAGTTCGTACGAGTGGGCAGTAAGCAGATGAGGGCCCGACAGTACCCGTGGGGCACCGTTCAGGGTATGTATGGGTTGTGTGTTTGGGAACCGTTTGGTTTTATAACTAAGAGTTTCCCCGTTTCTATAGTGGAGAACGAGAACCACTGCGACTTCGTGCGGCTCCGGGACATGATTTTGCGCATAAATATGGAGGACTTGCGAGAGACCACTCACTCCCGTCACTACGAGCTCTACCGTCGCGTACG